ATGCCGAGTTTCTAACTCTGGAGCTCTTAAAGACCCTTTTCTGTCATGCACTATGAAAAATGAAGCCAAAAAAATTAGAAAGCTGAGGAGGAAAAAAATCCAGGCTAGAAGAGAAAACAGAACAGAGCCAGACAATGGGTTTGGCAAGACTGGGCCAAGGAGGCAAAAGAAAGAAATAGAAACTGGTAGCGAGGCTGAAAAGAACTAAAATACAGAGGGAGACCAGATTTAGCTGGTCAAGAATGGAGGGAAAGGGAGGGAAGAGCTAGGAATCAAGATTCTAGGAGCAGCTGGTAGACTGAAGAATAAAAGGCTAGTTGGGAAAAGCCTAAAACTGGACATGAAAAGAGGGGATTAGGACTTAGAGCAAGAAACAAGAACTACCTTAACAAGGGAAATGAGAAAATGAGCCATAAAGGGAGACCACATGACCAGATTAAGTCAATCTAACAGTAGGTTGCTGTCAAAACAGACATTGTCAACATCAGCCCCACTCTGGCCAGTATTTACTTCCTTTGATCAGCAACAAACACTGTGACATTGCAGGACATGTCAAATAGAAAAAAAAAACCACAACATGTAAAGGGCTTGAGCAGGGGCAAGGTTGGGTTCCTCCCAGCCCCCGACCCACAATTACTTTTTCAACCAAATTACTGTGTTGATCCTATTTGCCATGTGGCTTTAAAAGTATATACACTGACACAGGGGCAACTGATGGTACATGCAAATACAAGCTAAGGAGAAAGAACTGCTTGCTTTGTTGACAGCAAAGCCTTATTTCATCTTACATCATTCATGAAAGCTAATGTTTACTTATGAATACTGGTGTAATGTGGAAAAAGACCAGGGTAATGAAGAGACAGGGACAAGACAGCAGTATTCAAGCCAGGATGAAATAAAGTCTGCCACTACTTCAACACATTCGTTTCCAGTATAACTATTAAGTTCCAAGACACTTCTGCTGTCAGAAAACACTCATGAAAAACCCAAGGTAATTTCCTCTTCTAAATTCTGCTTCTTGAGAGAAGTTAACTACTATTCTCAGTTAAATCATTAGCTTTAGTAGATTTGTATGGAAATTCCAAAGCCTCTAAATGAAAAATTCAGCTTTCAGTACAGACTAATTAAGCCTGAGGTAACTCAATAAACCTTTCTTTTCACCCATCCATTTGCCTTCTCTCTCCAAGTCTAAAAAATAATATAAAAGAAATCACATAAAGAACAGGAGTAAGACAACTAGCCAATAATAATTAATAAATAACAGATTTATTCTCAGAATAGTTTGTAGCAGATTTCACAGTGGAATACCACAAGTACTTTGATCGTTATTTATCCTGTGTATCACAAGAGGTTGATATCCTCCAGAAAATAATCAAAAAGTAGCATTCATTCATATGCTTAAGTATTAGTATGTACATTCTCTTAAGCCATTGCACAAATAGACTATTCCAGGTTTTTAAACTATATTCTATTGTTTTTAAAATATCAGTGAAAGAAATCCTGATGCAAAGAAAAGAAATGAAATGGTAAGCAGAGAATTAGAAACAGGCAAGTACTGGAGAGTGGTTCTGGATGTGCACTTTAGCCATTACTCACCCACATCGCACATCTGCAACTCACATACACACCTGAGTAACAGTTAGCATGTTGATTGCATAAACTAAAATGCAAGAGCTGAGATTACCTTGTTATATATTTCTCTGAATCAAACAAATTCAAACAGTTAAAACACATTATAATCCAAAAACTGTTTCTGTTTAACATGAGTTCATAATGGTCCTTTCAGGCCTTAAAAATTATATGCATTTCATCTTCTGTCCAGAAGGATAGACAAGGGATTGGAAGTGTTTAGGTTGGGCTAGCATTACATTTCCAAAGAAAGAAACTGACTGCCAGCAATTTGCATGAAAACTCAGTATTGCATTTAGTATCATACATACCCAATATAGTAGTTTTCCTTAATCAAAAAACTCCACCTTACCTTGACACAAATTTGCTGACATCCAAATCTTCTCCAGATTCCATTATAATGCTGAGATCAGTAATAACAGCAGACACATTCTTTTTGTTCTAGATCGGAGAAGTAACAACACAATATTATAGAAATTTCTCTACTGATGAGAAAAAAAATTATCTATTTGCATATAAAATAGACAAAAATATAGGCAAATGCTGCTAAGTACCATAATCCTTAAAACGGCATTTCTTAAAAATACAGCTTATATGTATGGACATTTTCTTTCATTTCAACAGTATCAGTATTATCCACACAACAAGACTTTTGGAATACCTAAACTGGTCAGCATACAGAACACATATGTATAAAGGACAACTTATAAATAAGAGGTTCTTCTACTTCCTTTCATGTCACTTCTACTTCTTTACAATTCTTGTCATTTTCCACCACAACCTCTAGCTGCCACTTATACCAGAAAATTCAAATATAAGGTTTCATCTGAAAACCATAATAATGCTACCAAGTTAAAAAAAAGTTCCTGGTAGTTTTCCTATTTTTTTTATTTTGATGCCTATAGTCTTGCCTCAGATTCTCATCCCTTTTTACAATAACAACTGTTACTTTAGGATATGTATACAATAACAGAAATATAATGTTTCCAAAATAAAATACAACCACCTACAAAGGAAAAGAGAAAAGAAGTTCATATGGTAGAAATGAAGCCTCAAAAGAACTTAATTTTTTTTCTACACATTCTTAAACACACCAGAGTAATAGGTTAGATAACAGTGAATGAAAAAGTTTAAAATCATGGCTTGAAGACCATAACAAATGCTTCACTTTATCTTAGAGACTTCATACTTTATTTTTCTTATACTCAGTGACTACAAGCAAATGGGAATGGAAACGCAGAAAAAACTAAACAGACAAGCTGGAGTCAAATGCAAACATATCACAGCAATCCCTGGTACTGGTTGGACAGAAGTACCACTAACATGCCATCACTAAAGATGGAAAAAGCAAACCAAGACACTAAAGTTTAGTGGATTGAGTAAATAATACGAGGAAAAATAATTCTATATTTAGAGCAAATGGTTCAACACATGCATGGGGTTGTAGAGAAGCTGCCAGCAGTGAAGCTAACATGCTACTCGCTAAAGAAACTGTTTTTTAATAAGTGAGTTACTAACATATGCCAAGATGCCATCTTGGGGTCAAATAAAAAGATTTAAAAGGAAAGCTCTTGAGAAGAAAGCAACTCTTATTTGAATGACTGTTTTCTTAAGAGGATTAGACTTATTTTGGTAGATTTTCAAGCCAATTGTACATGTCCTCTCAATATCTAAGGACAGTAAGAAGGGAAAATAAATAAATCAAACAATGCTTTTACATTAACTTGTTTTCTTCATCCACAGTTTGACCTCTGTAAGCATCCACCTACGCACAATGGTGAACAGACGCGAGCTTCTTTGCTTGCACTCTAAGCTGGCAAAACACTACTGAGCTTGGGAATATAAACTGTATGTCAGTCTGATGCTGTGCCAAAACTAAAGAACCAGCTAAGATGTAGAATATGTCAGGCACTAAGCAACCAATACTACAGTAATATAGACAGAATCTCAATCATTCAAAACGAGCCAGAGTGAACTCAGATCTGTCTACCCTTTGTTGTACAATTGTATCCTGGAATACAGCTTTTAACATGAATGACATTTAACAGTTTGTTTAAGATCAAATTAGAGATAATTACAAGAACAATTTGTTACTATGTATTAACAGGTTTGATTTAAGGTACTATGGAGCTGAGTTAACTGTATTGTAACTTAACTACTAGATTAAATAGCTAGAGCCAACAGTGTGAAAAAAATTCTTTACCTTCTGCTTCATACCAATGTATTTGTCACCTACTAAGCATTTCCCAAAACCAGCTGTCATCTTTTATTTCTCAAGATCGGTGAAACTAGTTACAACTTTACATTATCTTGCCCGTACAACATAGAGGTTATTTTGAATACAACTGCCAACGCCGTATCTTAGAAAACAGGCTTCTCCATTTTCATAGGCAAGAAGCTGGAGGCATATAAAAGTTAAAGCTAAGCTTCCAGGTCTTAGTCTGGCCTGAAGTGACAACTTCCAAGAGCTGTGGATGCAGATTGCTGCATCCACAGAGGATCTACTGACTTCACTGGAGGATTATCTGCACAGTGTATGAAGTCTGTGGCAAAACCTAGATAACATGCCACTACTTTTACACTACAGAAACAGCAAACTAGAAAGAGGCAAAGTGTCTGAATGAAACTGTTAACAATTTTATTACAAAGAAATAGAAGAGAGTAATTTTTAAATCATATAAATTACAAAATTGTATATCTTAAAAATACAATCCTTAAGCTTGGATTTTTGAACTACTAAATTCTCAAAAAGTATTTGATTTAAACAGTTCTAACAAAATGAAAATAGAGCTGCACACAATGGTTGTATTTTACAACTCTAACCAAACGATTACATTATGATTTGTACAACAGCTAAAGCACATTAACATTTAAGTAAATGCAAAACCTTTAATAACACATAGTTTTTGTGACTATATATGAACTTGAATAAAGGAATAGAAGTTAGTCTGTACTTGAAACAGTAAGGGTACTTCTTGACTTGGGTATCTAACACCAAAAATAAAAAATGAAATCTGTACATTATGGCACAATTAAAAACTGTACTCTTCATTGGTGTCTGCTTAACTAATTTACTGTTTTCCACGACATGTCCACAACCCACACCATACAAATACATAAAATACTGGCAATTCAAAGTTTATTAACTTAAGGTAAATTGATACAATGTCCCCATTGCATATTAAATTGTAAGTTACAGGTGCCATGTACTTATTTAAAAAAAAACACGCAAAAAATTAACTCAAAATTATATTTTTTTCAACTGAAGTGGTTTTTAAAAAATATATGCACTTGGTATTCTATGCATCACTTACTCCAGTGTATTTAATCAGCACAGAAGTAGTACAAGTTTTAGGCATTACGTAGATAAATGCTGCCATCTAGTGCTGCAATAGATTTAAGACTCATCAATGCAGCTATAACTAACTGATCTGAGCTCCACTGACGCTAAAAGATGTCATCATTCTGCAGCAGCATACAGGTGAGAAATAAACATTAATCTAACCAAGTCGCATGATTGATGCAGGCTATTTCCATGCTCAAAGCTAAATGTAGTTTTATACAAGCAAGTGGTAAAACGATATTACTAGGACGGTAAGTTTCAAGTCATGCATGGACATAAGAGGTTGCAGAATAACCTCATTCAGCTGAAACTCAGTTTCAAATTATGTAATCCACATGTGACTATCTAAGTACTCATTTCCTAAATTCATAATATGGCTTTTCTTAAGATGAAGGAGGACACCTTTACATAGCAAGGCAGGTTTTAATACTATCAGGTCCAATCACATTCAATTTTAAAAAATACCTTCAAAGTTGAGCTTAAAATCATGTTTTCTTGAGAAGGAAATTTTCTGACGTCAAAAATATTATTATAAATTGGGGTAGCAGCTGTTTTTAACTGCTTGTCATTTCAAATTCTGTGTTAAGAATAGATTCTTAGGAAAGACCTTCCTTGCAAAAAATCTGTAATCATTAGTGTAGCTTCTGTGCAGTCCTGTAATGTAATGGCTAGTCACACTGGTCAAGCAAATAGAAATATAACCAAAGCAAAAAAAAACCCAAACCAATTGTTCAAGTTTGTAGTGTTCTAGTCTTCCCTCAGTTTCCTCAAGATATGTAAGGTCTGGAATTTTCCAGTCTCCAGAAGCAGCTATCTGACTATAGGAGAACATGTTGTGGGGGAGATCAGAGACAGCCGTGGGATGCAAGCCCCGTTGGGTCAGGATGAGATCCCAGCAGGTACGTGGCAGAGTCGGTGGAAATCAAGCGCTGCTCAGGGCTTTACTTCAGCGTTAGTCAGCAAAAGTGCCCTGGAGAGTGCATGTTTTGGGAAGGAAGGGTGATATGGACTTGGCAGTGTTAGGTTTACAGTTGGATCGATCTTAAAGGTCTTTTCCATCCTAAATGATTCTATGATAAGAATTTTGTGATTGAATGTTGAACCTGACCTTCAGAACTATTTTGCTTGAATGTGCATGGAATTCAAAAGTTGAGTTCAGTTGTTATAGAGTGAAAACAACCCACTGAGGCTTAGATTAAGAAGACTCAGATAATCAAAATGACAAAATACCAGTTGAAGGTTTCAGCCAGAAAAGGAAATATTGACATTTGTCCATTTGAGGTTTTGTTTGTTTGCTTGGTTGGGTTTTTTTGGTTGTGTTTTTTTTTTAACCACACATTGATCCTTACCTGCATTTCAAGAAGCTGGAATTCCAGTTGAAAAGACAAAGAGTGGCAATTCCCTGATAATCTGTGCTTCTGCACTGTTCTGTTTCTAGCTGTTATGAAATAAAGTTAACAAAACACTTGATTGTAATTCTATTCAACAATTATTGCATTTCTTCCATTACTCATTTAAAGTACCAACTGATATCATCCATCATATAAATAAAGAAGTCAAGTAAAACATATTAGAAAAACCCCAAACACTAACTTTGTGGTAGTCTTTCACTCTCCCACTAAGCAAAGTACTATATTTATTCAGAAACTATGTTGTCAATAAAGAAAATTCTATTGTATTTCAAAATAATTGTCTTGCTGCTAACATTGAATGCAATGAACTGAAACAGTATGCTCAGTATTGCACAAGTAAAGGACACAAAAATGCTTACTTTTTTCCACTGTTTTCCTGGAATGACTTGCGAATTGAATACCAGTAAATTTCATTAAAAATGAGAGATCTGTTTCTAGACTTTCAAGTTGAGCTTTCAGGCCTGATGGAAATTCACGTCCCTTAGATACTCCCTGAAATTCTCTTTGGAAAGATTTTCTAGAATTGAAAGAGAAAAAAAATAAAAATCAAACAGGGCAAAAGACCCAGACATAAGAACATGTTTTGTCACGTCAGTACAGCAATATCATTAAATAAAAGGCATTTCTAATGTAATCTGATGGTTTCAGAGGTCCGTTTTCAATGAGTCAAATTTCAGTTGGATCATATTACTAGGAACAGTAAACTATTCTATTTACATAAATACTTTATGTTCACTGCCAGGTAAACACAGCCTTTATTATAAGTCTTGAGATGTAAGTATCCATTTCAAGGAACAAACAACAAAAATGAGCTGTGATGTATTTAGTCATCTAAATGATTTATCTACAGTGTACATTTACCATAGAATATCAGTTACATATGGAAGTAAACAACCCTAACATGGCACTTCTTTAGCATATAACTAGTCACACCTGTACATGTCCCCAGTCCTCCTCTATCACCCCCCCCCCGGTCACTGCGCTCCACCTCTCCTCGCCCCCCCCCCCCCCCTCCAAGTAAACATCCACTGAGCTGTTTCACAGTGCATGATGGAAAACACGACCTTTGCAGCCAACAACTTTGCAAGGCCTGCACAGTAACATACTTGATATCATGCTCTGGCCTCTATGATTGCCTTTTAAAAAACAAACAAGCAAAAAAATCCTAAAAAACCCCACAAACTACCAACAGAAGGCAGTAAAAAGATATCAACTATTTATTATTTGTAATCTTTTACCGTATATAGACCATGTCCTAAACAAGACCAGAACTGTAAAAATAACATAAGGAAAGCCCTAACATAGAGGCAAAAGCTTATCCTAAACAATTTTGACAAAGAAACACTATTAATCCAACATGTGAAAAAAGGCGTACATTGGCATTAACATCTCCTTGTCCGAAAAAAAGGTGGCTTCTTGTTGGTTATCTTCATACTTTTCAGCCAATAGTTTAATTTCTTCTTCTAGTGACTGGATTTCATCTTCATAAACTTGACAAATGCTGTTGTCCATTTCTCAGAATCAATGTTACTAGATAAAACAAAACAAGTATATTTCTTAGGTAAAAAAAATAAATCTATTTTCAAAATAAATTATTTTTACCCAAGGAATTAATTTAAGAAATGAAATATAACATTAGGCAATTGTTTCTCCTACCCCTCTACTTAAAATGGGACAATTTACTACATTTTATGACTTCTGAAAACTGAAGAATTGGTATGCACAAGTTTTAAATATCCCAGGTAGCTTTGGCAAGTATAATCATTTATACTTCCATAAAGAATTATAGAGTGTCAAACACTCCTGTTTGCTACAGAAGATTAAACTAACATATAATCCTTGATCCTCAGCAACCAAACTTTACAGAAATTTTGTCATCAACTTGGAAACAGAATTAGGCTTGCAGTAAAACTGCTCTTAATATTACAGCACTCTGTCATCAATGTAACTCCTGCTTAAGCCCTAGAAAGACCACTTAGAAAGGCACTGGTCTGCAAGTAGACATTACAAGAGTAGAAAAGCTGCTTTTTCCATAATTCTGAACATAACAAAGCTTCCTAAGAAATGTGATAACCGACTCTGCTAAAAGCATGATGAACAGGAAAGATTCTGCCTCCAGTGAATACATAGATTATCAGCAATAGATAATCAGCAATAATGTGACAAAGAACAAATTTCTGACTTTACATAAAAGAACAAAGAAAAAAAAGAGTTTTCTCCAAAATAGATAACAACTTTGAAAAAATGTAGTTTTATTGCATTAGCTCCTCAAAGACTTAATTCAATGTAATTATTAAACCAATTTTAAGACACAGATCACTGCATAGCCTCCAAACACAGAAGTTAAATCAGGAATATAATGTAGTCAAAAGCTTTCTTTAAAAATCTTTTTAACTATTCATGGTTTCATCCAGAAGCATATCCAGGTGTTTTAAATTTGCTGTAACAGAACAAGCTGTTCTGCAGAAAAAAAGCAATCCTAATCAGAAACAGAAACTGAATCCAGCTTTGACAAATTCACCTAACGATCCACCTGATTAAATGAAGCACAGCTGTTCCTACTAACACAATAGCATACCCTGCCTTTCAAGTAAACAGCAGTAAAGAGACACAAAGAAACAACTGTTTCACAAATAATTCAAAATAAATAAACCTAAATTTTAAGGAAAAAAATCTGACATTCAGCCTGGACATAACACATTCAAAGGACTGTGAAGAATATTATGCAGCTCAATACCAATGTATTCATACCTTCAAGCAGCGTGGGGAGGAAATAATCTAGTTTTACGTGTGTTTTTAAACAATCCCTACTTTATTTGCAAGATCCACACTAACATGGTTCAATTGAAAGGGAGGAGGAGGAAATAGGATAGGATTTTGTTGGTTTATTTCATAAGAAACAGAATCTGAATAACACATATAAGAAAATACTATTCAAAACTTGTTTTGCATTAAAAACTTATTTAGTGAATAAAGAAAGCATATGCAATTAAAGAATCACTGAGATTGTACCTAGTTGTGACCGTCTCTGAAATTTTAAAGTAATCTTATGCAATGTATTGACAGCAAACAAGATCAGTGGGGACAAGAAATAGAAGTTCTCCAACTTTTAATGCATCCTGTTAAGTTTGGCTTTTTTTTTTTTTAAACTGAATACATTGGAGAAAGTTTTGGTCATAACAAAGAGCATACTGGGAAGAAAAAACACAACATTACAAGAGCCAGAACTTTACCCTAGGCTGTTACCTAATTTCTCTATTAACAGCTAGCTGTTTTGAAAACCGTAGCAGAACACGTGTACTTCTTACAGCTATTTTAACTCAAGTGACTTTGCTAGACTGCAGAAGACTCAAAGACTGGTTATGACTTCAAAGAGCATTATCCCGGAAGAAAATACCCGCACATACCTTTAAATAAATAAAATATAAATTTAATGACAAACAACCATTTCTCCTCATCCTAAGCGTACACACACGTGTATATATTCGTGCATTAATGGTAAATATTTCACACTTCTACCTACCTGCCCGTATACACCCCTAAGCCTTTGCTTTTATGCTGCCGCGAGAAGAGCTGGGAAGAGCATTCAAGAGGTTGCGAGAAACGAGCTGGTGGCGTTCTATGTTTCGTTGCTTTGCTTCTAGCCTTCAAATCTCACAAGGCAAT